AAGTTATCACATTTAGTATATGTTTACTGTATGTTGATATTTGATTTGTCTTCTTGATTATACTGTAATTATAGATCTGTTTTCTAACATTAAGGGTGGCACATTATTGGTTCTTATGCTATGTCAATATCAAGGTGTCTTGGATGATATTATTGCTGCTGATTTACTTGCTATTGGCAGAGTGATGTAGTTGTTGCTATTAATGGGTTTTCTCTATAAGCCAATACTGTGCTTCATTCCTGGAGATCTGAAATAATTGGGCTAATTACACTGTACCCTTTCCTCCCAAATTAAGGGAGGTGGTCAGATCTTGGGACAGAAACAAAGGACTATAGTTAGCCATATGAGAGTATATCACTGAAAATCAGACACTAAAGAGATCTCCATAATAGCAACAAAGTCTTTCCAGGGTAAGTACCTGCAAAGATCAGCACAAAACAAATAAGAAAAAAAAACCAGAAACATAGGAAAACAAGGCACAAAAATGTTTCCCAAAACTTTCAACTCCATGGGGAATTGGGGGAGAAGGGGGAGCAAAAGCCACACAGCCAAACTATTGAAAAGATAACAGAGGAGATTAAAAAACAGATCAATAAGCTCAAGGAAGACATAATTAAACAAATAATGGATGTAATAAAATAATCAGGAGGTTTACAAAAGATATTAATAAAAAGCTAGCTGAGCTAAACAAAATGATATGAAATATGAACAACCAGTTTGGCAAAGAATAAGAGTCCCTAAAAAAGAACACAAATCCCCAGGAATCTAGGAAATTAAAAATGTTCTTGAAAGTATGGGCAGCAGAAGCAGCCAATATTAGGACAGAGTGTGAGAACTAGAAGACATGGCTTCTGTCAGAGACCGATTATTCAGAGATTGTGGTGAATTAACTAGTGGTCAACTTGGAACGCACAACTGAACTGAGTCAGCATGGTTCTGGACATTGTAGACCCACCTAAGGACTGTTGACCATGGCATAAAAAGAGACCTGGAGGGGAAGACTGTATGCTGTAGATTTTCCTGGGGAGGCTTGCCTCAGATGGTTTTCCTGATGTGAACTTGGCTATTCTCCTCAGAGGAGCTAGGGTCCTCACTGTCACTGGGAATGACTGCTGTTCTTACCAGGGGATCTCTATGTCTGCCTTGAGCATCAATTCCTGGCTCCAGTTCAGATCCCTCATCCTAGTGGCATAGATCCTTCACTCTACCAGTGCAGGGTTTCTAGCTTCCATCACTGGCCTTTGGGTCTTCCCAGTAAAGATCCTTGATAAGGACTTGCATGAGACATTGTCATGGGCTCTAGGCCTCTGGCTGGACTCGTGGAAGATATTGCCTTGGGCTCTAGGCCTTTAACTGGACTTGTGCAGGCTGTTGCCATGGGATCCACAACCTTGGCTGGATTCTTTGGTTCTCTAGTGTGTGACAGATCTCTTGTACTTCTCTGAATTTGATTTTTTGGGAGAACGTTGTAAAACAATCCCATGACTTATTTGTCCGTTATTAAATCCATTTCCTGGCAAACCCTGACCAAGAGATGTCTTAAAAACAAAAAAAAGAAGATAGCTGGTCATGGTGGTGCACACTTATAATCCCAGCACTAAGGAGGCTGAGGGAGGAATATCACCATGATTTCAAGGCCAGCCTGAACTACATAGTGAGACCCTGCTCCCCCACAAACAAAACTAAACAAAACAAAAGAGAAAGAGAGATGATGATGAAAAATGGATCCAACAGCTGCTAGATGATGCAGAGGACTAATCTAATATTAATTAGAATTAGTGAAAAATCATAAGACAGCACAAAGGGTATTATGTTCACAGAAATAGTAGCAGAAAACTTTCCAAATACAGGCAAAAAATTAAACACATGTATAACTGAGGCACATAGCCACAATCAGAAGCGAACCTCTCCACCTGACACATCATAGTCAAAATTCCAGAAATCCAACACAGGGACAGAATCTTAAAAGCTGTTAAAGAAAAGCAACAAATCACTTATAAAAGTAAATCCATTAGAATTACAACAGATACCTTAACACAAACCTTAAAGGCCAGGGGAGATTGGAGTAAAATGTTTCAAGCCCTAAAAGAAAACAACTTCCAAACCAAACTTATATATCCTGCAAAACTATCTTTCAAAATTGATAGCAAAATAAAGTATTTCCATGACAAAGAGCACCTTGAAAAATTTATTACATATAACCACAAAATCAGCACTCAAAAAAAATTCTCAAGGATATCCTAGGAAGAGCTAATGGAAGTAACAATGCCAAAAACTCTAATAGAATGAATACACCAGGCAGGATGAGCAGTTAGGCAGAAAGGGGAAGAAAAAAAAAAATAGGAACTCAGCAACAGGAAAATAATGCAGTGATAGAAATAAGTTAATACCCTTCAATAATAACTTTCAGTGTGACTCTTCTCAATTCCCCAATCAAAAGACACAGGTTGGCATAATGGATCAAGAAACAAATGGAATAATGTGCTGTATACAAGAAACATATTTGATCCAAAAAGAAATTCACAGATTAGAAACCAAAGAACAGAAGTCTGTGTTTCATTCAACAGGAACCCAGAAAAAAGCAGGAGTAGATGTCTGAATTTCAGACAAAGTGGACTTCCAGCCAAAACTGATCAGAAGAGGCAAAAAAGGTCACTACAAATTAATTAAGGGAACAATTCAAGAAGAAGAGATAACAAGTATAAACCTATGTACCCCAAACAGCAACATGCCCAACTTCATAAAACAAACACTACTGAACATAAAAGATCGGATAAACACCAACACAATTATGTGGTGGACCTCACTACTCACTGTCACAAATGGACAGATCCTTAAAAATAAAGGACCAAGTCAATAAATGGGTAACTGAAATAAACAGACACTTCACAGAAGGAGAAATACAAATACCCAATAAATACATGGCAACATGTTCAACACCTCTGGCCATCAAATAAATGCAAATTAAAACAACACTGAGATTTCATCTTACTCCAGAAAGAATGGCTATCACCAAGAAGTCAAAGAATAGCAAACATTGCTAAGGCCGAGGGGAAAATAAAGGAACCTGTATACATTGTTTGTGGGAATGTAAGCTAGTACAATCATTAATGAAATCAGTATGGAGATTCGTCAAAAAATTAAAACTAGATGCTTCATTCAACCCAGCTCTCTCCCTTTCAGGTGTTGTCCAAAGAGTTAAAGACATCAGGTTACAGTGTCACATGCATTCCCATATTTATAGCAGCACAATTTATAATAGTTAAATCTTGGAAGCAGCCTCTATGTTTACCAACACATGAGTGGTTAAGGAAAATGTAGTGTTTATATGCAATAGAGCATTACTCTACCATAAAGTAAGATAAACTGCAGTCATTTATAAGAAAATGGATGCACCTTGAGACTATAATGTCAAGTGAAATAAATCAGACGCACAAGCTTAAATGTTGCATGGTTTCTTTTATATGAGAAATCCAAAATATCAATAATGAGCAAATTAAAAAATAGATAATAGAAAATAGAGAGTAGATCTTTTGCCAGTGGGAAGGGAAGCAAGAGATGGAGGGAAGAGAGGGGAAGGGGATTTTTAAAAAGAATTAAGATGTGTTATGTACTTATTGAACTACCCGTGAGGAATGCGATTATTGTGTACTAAAAACACGTACTAAATAACAAAAATAAAAATTGAAAAAAAAAAAGAAAATTAGTACAGTAAAATCTTGGCTTGCAAGAATAATTCATTCTGCTCACAATCAAAGCACTTGTGTATCAGAGCAGCAACGGAGGCTGCGATCATGTGATATTTAATGTGATGTGCTACTCATATTGCAAGACACTGCTCATCTATCAAGTTAAAATTTCTTAGAAATGTTTGCTTGTCTTGCAGAACACTTGCAGACCAAATTACCTGCAATCCCAGGTTTGATTGTATAATGTGAAAATAGGACCAAGACTTAAAGAGATAATAAATACAGAAGATGTTGTGAAGAATGCTACTGGAGAACTAGGAGAGCTAGTTTAAGTTCTCTATCACTAATTGTTTGGCTATAGACATGGCCAATATTGGGCCCTTAGTCGTTCATCTGTTCTTTCCTTCACTTCTTCCTGTCATCTTTTGCACAGACACTTCTTGAGAATCTAGTATAATGTGTTAAGCAAAAGGATATTTGTTCTCTCAAGGTTCTTGCTAGGAAGACAGTCACATTTAAAAGTAAATTAAAATCATAATTAAAATAGCATACCATATTAAATATAACACTGGCGACCTCAGAATTGCTTTCCACTACAGAAAGCCTGTTCATCAAGAGGTATTATTAAACACTTTCTATTACCGAAAGAAAAGTCAATTTGGATCGTAGACTTTTGTCATATCTGTTTTCCTTTTGGCCATACTTCTGACATTGATGTTATCAGGTAAGTAACTGAACTTAAGGACATTGTGAGCAGGTGAGCCCTTTGTGTCCTTTCTTTAAAAAGAAATTGTAAATGGAACCAAGTGCCAGACTTTTTGACACAATTGCTTCTAATCCCTCCAAATAATGAAGTTATAATTGACTACATATTTCTGTCTTTAGGCAAGAAGATACTTTAAAATAGCCTCACAGCAGTTGATTACTATAATTTCCCAGTTGAATCTCTTATAATCCCCAGCCACTTCAGTGACAAACAGTCCAGCTCTTGTTGTCAGAGACCACATCTTCAGTCAGAGACCACATCTATACACATGGTGCAACTATTTCATAACTGTGCTTTATTTTTATTTATTTGTTTGTTTTGGTACTGGGGATCGAACTCAGGTCCTTGCACTTGTGAGGCAGGCGGTGGAACCACTGAGTCAAATCCACGGCCCCTCATAAATGTGCTTTAAAAGGCAAGAGTCGACCCTCCAGAAATCTAAAACCTTATATATAACACCCACGTGAAAGCCTGGAGACTTGATAAAAATAAAACAAGACTTCAAATCCTAGTTGAAACCAAAGAACAGAGGCTTATTGTGTCTTTTCCAAGGTAAATTTGCTTTTTAAAACACTTTTAAATGCATTTGTTTCTATCTTTCAGTGAGAGTTTGGGTGGATCCACATATTATCTGAACCAATCTGCCTATCTTTTTCCCACGAAGTGGAAGAAAGAAGACAGATGATGACTCACAACTCAGCACACTTCTTGGTTTCTGTGAACTGACACCAAATTGCTTTCCAAAACAGGCGTTTACAAAGGACCCAAACCTGCTTCTGGCCTGAGGATGTAAGTCATGATATAAGGATTCCAGCATGGTGCTTGATTAACTCCCTTTGGGCTCCAGATGGCATTGGCTAGCACCTGGAGAAGAAATTTCATGTGGAGATTGTCTCAGTTATCGTTTTATGTCACTTTAGAAGTCTTCCCTGAGTCTGCTGCCACCACTTATCTTCTTGCCTTATCTCCCTGGCCCCAGCTTTCAGGTTTACATCCTATATTAGTCACTTTCCCATCAGTGGAACAAGATTTTGGACACCCACAAATTAAAAAAGGAGAGGTTTAATTTGGCCCCCAGTTTTGGTGTTTCAGTCTATGGCTGGCTCCAAGGCAGACAAGCCATGGTGGAAAGGTCTGGCAGAAGTAAAGCTGCCCACCTCATGACAGCCAGAAAGAGAAGAGAGAAAGGAAGAGCTAAGGACAAGAATACACTTTTCCGGATCATGACTCCACCTCCAACCAGGCCCCACCTCCAATCACATGAGACTTTTAGGGAGCATTTTAGATCTAAACCATAACACAAACCTTGAAAATGGAGTTTGTAGGATGGTCCTGCCATGAAAGTTGGCCCTTTCTGATTACTTCTCCTGCACTGGGACCCAAAGACTTCTTTTCTGTTCAAACAGCAGAGCAAAGGCCTAGAAAGTACAGAAAGCATAGGAAAAAAAAAAAAAAAAGGTAGATGAAGAGTGGATTAGTTGTGGAAACAAGAAAGGACAATGAATCCATGGCAATGTCAAAGTTTATTACCACTCTTCCCAGCTCTGCTTGACCTCCACAAGCTTGCTCTTGCTCAGTGAGTTCTTCCATCCTCACCCACTACACATGATCCTCATGCCCACTGCTGACTCTCTCTGTTTATCACTGAACATGCCAGTCCGCTCTCAAAGTTTTGTGGGAGCCACACATTGAAACATGGGTCCCACGCTGACCCTAATCACATTTACAGACTACATCTCAGTTTCCGAAGAGTTGAATCTTAACACAATTTTATTAAATCCTATTAAAATTTCATAAACCAAGTGTGATAGTCTATGGCTTTAATCCCACCATTGTGATAGCCTGAGGCAGGAAGATCACAGGTTCTAACCTAGCCTGGGCAATTTAGCACTTAATAAGACCCTGTCTGAAAGAAAGTGTGTGTGTCTGGGAGACAATGGGAATGCAGCTCAGTGTAAAGGGCCTGGGTTCAAACCCTAGTACAAAGTGGGGAGGGCTGGGGATCAAGGTCAGTATAAAGGCTCTGGGTTCAAGCCCCAATATCAAAAAAAGTTCTGTGAGATATTATTATTCCTATTGCACAGCTAAAGAAATTGGGGGCCCAGTGAGGTTAAATTGTTAACCTGAAGCAGCACCACAGCTAGAGGTACCAGCAGCCCCTCTTCCGTATGGCCTGTACCTCTTTTCCCAAGTGTTGATATTTTTTATTTTTGTTCTTGAGCTCTCTCTCCCTTGCATATTCCACATCTCTCTCTCTCCTCTCTCTCTCTCTCTCTCTCTCTCTCTCACACACACACACACATACACACACACACTCTCACACACACAAAACACTCTCTTCAGCCAGCCACCTGACTTCCTTCTTGAAACAGCCTTCTAGGTTACACCATAATGCTCTAGCGTTGCCTTAGTCTGCCGTGAAACTTTCTATCTCTCTTTCAAACACAAAATACCCAAATCATGCTTCTTTTGCTGTTTCTCTCATGGAGCCTGTCATCTATCTTGGAAAACAGAGATCACATCTACCTAAATCACCCTACCTAGTGCCTAGCAAGGCAGTAAGTGTAAGTACAGGCTCAATATCACTCTGCTTGTTCTCTGATTATAATGATGAGGCCAATGATGTCCACATGATCCCATTCACTTGAATTTGCACCTCCTTTTAAAAAAAGTTCAAAGACTTCCACATCAATGGGTCTGAGAGTGCTAAGGAAAATTTAAAGGGTTGTCTCCATAAAGACAAGCTGATAGTAAAAAATAGAAAAGGAGACTTATAAGAAATTCAAGAAGTCAGGACAATGTCACAGAAATTTGGAAAAGACACAGGTCTTGTCATCAGACAGATGCTTGTGTGATCTTGGGCAAGTTACTTAATTTCTTGAAACCTCTAATTCCCAAGTTTTTAAAGATGTCAAAAAAAATCCATCTCAGGATTCTCTAGAACATTATGTAAAATAACCTAGAAAGCATTTGGCTCATGGAAGTTGCCCTGAAAATGTCATTTTCTTTTTCTTTCCATCCAGGAAGGATCCAGAATCATCAAATTTCCAATAGTACCCTAAAGATTGGTCCCAATGCATTCTAAGAGACTCCTCAAAGGTTCTTCTCAATGTCTTCTGACCTTCCATAAAAATGCACATGTTCTCTGCAATTACTGGCTTTGAAGAAAACATATATGTTAGGGAATAACTGACCCACTCCTGTCACTTAGAAAAATATACAAACCAAACAAGACTCACATGTTTATGGGTGGCCCCAGAAGACATCCCTTATCTGCTCTCGCAAAGCTGATCCTTGAGCATCAACCCAACATACTGTGTTACTTGTTCAGGCATCTGCATCTCCCCTTGGTTGGGAGACCCCCCCTCATGGAAGAATCCAGATATTGTTCCTCTTTGCTTTGCGACCTTACTGGAAGACTCATCAGGTTTATTACATTGAATTAAACCATTCATCTTTGGGTTTGCAATGACCTAGTATATACCCTACACTTTATTATTCCCCCAACAGTATTTTCTGTAGACTCAGAAATTTTAAGCATTGAAGAGGGGAAGGAGGGGAGAGTAAAAAAGAATTAGGATGTGTTAGATACATGTACCAATTCCTCATGATAAATCTAATCATTATGTACTGCAAACATGTACTAATAAATTGTTTTGAATTAAAAAGAAAGAAATTCCAAGCATTGAGCCCACATATTTATTTTGTTTTTTAGGAATCAACTGTTTGAAAATAGCTTTTTCTTTCTTTCTGTCTTTTCAAAACTAAAACCTAATTAAATAAGAAGGGGTAAAAGATTTCAGAGAAACAGAAATACCTGGGAC